TGTGTGAACATGGGTGGTCTGAATGGACTTAACCCCGTCAAACAACATACATATAACACACATGCTCACACCTCCATTTTCATGAGGAATTTCATGTTATTGCACCTGCATGCATACACTTGCGTAACATTAATTCACCTATATAATCTTGAAAATTTCACTCTGACACAGCTCCGCAGGAATGTCATGATAATCATTTTTTCATCATTATTCAGAGTGGTCATCATTATCAGCCAATTGCAATGCAATTGCAAATCACAATCCCATGACACTATGAGAGTGGTGTTGGAGGCAGGGGGAAGGGGGGACTTATATCTGTACCCTCCCTGATGAGATTGATCTCCCACCATCAGTGTGGGAACTGCCAGAGAAGAAGCCCAGCATGCAGGGACACAGCACATAACTCAGAACCTCATAGGCTGCCACCACAGGGAAGAGTGAGCTAGGATTTAGTTAGAATTTCTTTCTTTCTGTCAAGGCTAACTCTATTTCTCTTTCTATCTCATTGCTGTTATCTCACTCTTTCTCACACACGCACACACTGTCTAATATAATTTCTTTCCTGTCGTCTAAAAAGTTGCCCCATTTACACATTTTGCAGGCACCACAAAAGGAATTTGCTATGAAAAGTTGACCTGTAAAATGTCAGGTGCATTTCATGACGGATTTATCACCGCAATGAAAGGAATTTGTTGTTTGCAGTGAGACTGTTGCAAAACATACAGACATTTGCAATAACTGGATGTTTATTGGCTTTGCAAAAATGGCGGTAGACTTGCAAGTTTTGTGTGTGTGTGAGAGAGAGATCTGTTTGAGATTGCGCTTAAATTACGATGTTCTTATAGTGTTTGTGTAATTACTAGCAGTGAGTGACGTGCTGTCAGACACGTTGTCACTGTGCGAATGTTATGATGGCGACAGATGGCAATTTATGAGCACGCAGTTTCCCTTCATATCCCAGGCTCATTTTCAAATGCACATTCTTGCTTACATACCACATAGACAGTCACAGCACGTAAACCTGTGAACTTTAAAGATGTGCTTCTCTCATTTATAGAATTAATGCCACTATAACCTCATTTCACATTTAATACAAAAGCTGAATTTTATGTCTCACTATTTATTGCAAGACTAGAACTGTGTAATATGTTCAAGCAGATAAAGAGAAGCAATTTAGTATATAGTAATTACAGTAATTAGGCCATTAAAGATATTTTTCTCCAAATCCCTGTCCATTACCGGTTGTCAATCTCTTTCCTCTTTTTCCACTGTCATCCCTACAACAGAGGAGCCTGGTAGGGGAGTAAGGGGCTTCACAAGAGATCCATCTCAGCTGCAGGGATCTATTCTGCAGACAGCACTTAGAAAAAGCCCCCAAGGCTTTGGGTTCACCATCATCGGTGGAGACCGATCCGACGAGTTCCTTCAGGTCAAAAATGTCCTTCCAGATGGGCCTGCCTCGCATGATAACAAGATCGCCCCAGGTAGTCATCTCCCACAGACCTACTGTTTGGAAGTGCTAGATCTAGATTGCACTTTGACTTAGGGAATAGACATCCTACATCCTTCTTCTAGGAGTGACAAATATGTATTTTTGTATACTTGTATTACTTGTCTAAACAAAATAATCCATGTTGTGTGCATAGCATATATGCCCACGCACGGCTTGGCAACAGCATACATGCTGTACATAATGCAGTTTTATGTACTATGAGTACACACGAACAGACACAAACACAGACACACATTTTACCGTGAATATCAATGTATAGTGGAACAGCTCTAAAAATAGGAAACTTCCATCAATAAAGCACATATTAAGTTTATGGTTGACCCCCAGATTTCATATGCAGCCATATATTAAAGATTTAATAGGCCTGTAGAGCGGTTGTCTTTTTATGGCTAGTGGGTGACAAACCTGCTTATCTGAAGAATGTGCATAATGCAGTAGTCTGCAGCATAAACATGCATGCTACAGATAGCTTTGCAAGTCTGCCTAATATAAACTTACTAGAGCTGCTGTAGTTGCACCCACATGTTATTGGCTCAGGAAGTTCCCTTTTATTGTATATATAAACAGTGTGATCACATGCATGGTGATTGTAGTGATTTGAATTACTGTAGTGCCTTAGGATTCACATTATTGTAATATTGATTGCATTGAATGATTTTACGGCCACAGTAGGGCTGCTGCTGAGACTCAACATGAAAGTGGAACTGGGAGAGTAATTATTTTCAGTGTTTCATTTCCCATGAGAAGGAGTGTAATTGATTAGGCCAAGAAAATGAATGTAATTAATTTCATTGGGTTATAATAGCAAGACTGAACTGTAACAACTTCATGTAGCTTTCTTTTGGATTTAAGACTAACTGACTACAGAACTGGAGCATTTATTTTTGCCAAGGTGGATTGTTTTAAGTTTCTGAGACTCAATCTTTCACTCACAGTACCTGTTTTATTATGTGGATGTTTAGTCATTAGATAAGTCATTACATATAGGTATAGTGGGTCTGAACAGGCACTTCATTGGGATATGGAGCTCATTTCAAGAGTGAAACCTGAGCTGGGTTTGCTAGGAAATGGTATTGATGGGCTGAATCCTCCACTGGGCATTTAGCCAGCTAGCCAGTCAGCAATACAGCTGGCCATCAGGTCCTATATCTCAGCCAGGCCAGGGGCGATGAGAATCCCCCCCCCCCCCCCCCCCCCCCACATAGAAATTGAAAGGAGAAAGAAGAGAACAGCATGTCAGTGATCTTGTTCTGTTTTGTGCTCTTGTCTCCATCGCCGTTAACATTTTTGAAGTTTCTGAAGAGTGAGAAGAACAGAAGGAGAAATGGACAGAGATTCTACTTATACAATCCAGCTAGATAATTCATTTCACTTATTGTGATAATTAGATCAGAAATGTGTGTCTTCTTTTATTTGACTTCTTTACATTTGCCTTGTGTGGTGATGTAGTGATCACAGTCCCCACTATCCCACGCCAAGTTCTTGCCAGCTTTTACAGAGAGGAGCAATAGAAAGCTGTCTGAAAACATCACTAACTGACATGGGATGTGCACAACCCAGGACCGGAGGGCTCTGCAGCGGTGATCAAAACCGCTCAGAAGATCATTGGAACATTTCCCGAGCATCAGTAATATTGGTGAGGTGCCTACGCAGAGCCCAAAGGATATTAAAGGACAGTACCCACCCCAGCCACAGCCTGTTCACCCTGCTGCCTTCTGGGAAGATCTATAGAAGTTTCAGCTGCCGCACCACCAGACTGCAGATCAGCTTTCCCCCCCAAGCTATCAGACTTTTAAGCTCAAATTCATCCTCAGCACTGCTCCATTTAATATAGATTATTTCTGTTTACCATTTTTATAATTGCTTCTATAACGTTACCCTCTTAATATTCCAACGGCCAGGTCCTGGCGGCAGCTTCCGGTATGTGGACACAGCTGATATGTTACCTTTATACTCACAGGATACACCATTTGAAAGCTAAAATCCTCCTGATTCGACCAATCCAACCCATTTCAAGATAAATCAGTGTTTCTGTGAGACCAACCAGTACAAGCAAAATTGACGCGACTCACCTATGAAGCCTCATCGATCCATTATATTCCAACAAAAATGGTCTTGTTATGTTGTCAAAGGTCCAGACGATCTAATCCAGTAAAAATATTTAGCCCAAAACACATTATTCCATCAATAAATCCCCAGGGACGGTTGCGGTATCGTTTCATATTTGCCGGCAGACGTAGCTCCTATGACATTATAACCGTAATAACTCCGATTTGAATGTAAACAACCACAATAGCTTGTATTCAAATCAAATTAGCCACTGAACTCTAACCTTTCGAATGACACCCAATCCGACCCAATAAGAGCTCACAGGTCCATTTCACAGCCTTCAATAGCCAACGAGAGCCCGCGCTGTAAGGACGGGCCAGCCCCTATTATCTCGTGGGTAGGCCGAGCCAATTGCAAGCAATTGTGCCGATGAGTGGCACTTTGTTTAGCCAATAAAATTCTGAAAAGAACGTTATCCAGCTTTAAGTAGGAAGTTCATGATCTACCAGCAAAGAAAGCACGTCTGCGTCGAGCTACCGGCTGATACGGAGCGATGCAGCAGCAGCCGCCTGCCGCTAAGGGGCGGTGCTATTTTAGAAAAAATAGGCTAAGACGTACACTTAGAAAAACCTGTGTAAAATAGTAATTTTTCATGGTATTGGTATGAAATTTAAACTAGGACTAGGTAATGCTTTATCCTGTGGTCCTATAGGACTGTGTTTTCCAGCCAATAAGTCCCAGCTGGAAATGAAAAATATATTAGTTTTAGTGTGTTAGTGTTTAAACTTCAATTCCAGTAGCATTCTGGCTTTTGGGTTAGACACTCCAAAGTGTTATCTTTCAGAGAAGCCTAAAACCATACATGTACTCCAAATGGTTCAAGAACTACATTCAGTTTACTTTGGATATGCCTTGAATAGGCGTTTTGCATGAATTTTACCGGAATGTTAAGACGTTTTAATGTATATTGTCTGCTATGTAGCAGAGGGGAGTTACAGACTCAATTTCACTCTATAACCTGTTATATTGTGACAAAATAAATCTACCTACCTACCTGCCTATCAAATTTGGACATTTCACAAATGTGTAATAGCTCTTTGTTCTTTTAGGTGACGTGATTGTGGACATCAATGGGACATGTGTGCTGGGGAAGACTCATGCTGATGTGGTGCAGATGTTCCAGTCCATCCCGATCAACCAGTATGTGGACATGGTCCTGTGCCGGGGCTATCCCCTGCCTGAGGACTCCGGCAGCAGTGAAGAGGCCTCAGGAGGCCTCTGCACCTCCATGGACACTTCCCCTTCCCCCTCAACATCCACACCACAGGACCCCCCACTACACAGTCCCAGACGGAGGAACCCTCTCTAGACAGACTGCTGCAGTACCACCCATGACCAACGGGGGCGTCACCACCATCACCACCCTCACCACCACCACATTCCTCACATCCCCAGCCAAGAAGGCAGTGACACCACACTGTTACAGCCAGAGCTGGTGAGCGTGCCCTTGGTAAAAGGCCCTGGGGGTTTTGGCTTTGCCATCGCAGACTGCCCCCTGGCCAAAAGGTGAAGATGATTCTGGATGCCCAGTGGTGCCGTGGCTTGTTGAAGGGCGATGTTATCAAGGAGATCAACAGACAGAATGTGCAGACTTTGAGCCACTCTCAGGTGGTAGACATCCTCAAAGACCTGCCTGTAGGCAGTGAGGTCAATGTGCTGGTGCTCAGAGGAGGTGAGTTTGCAGAAATGAGAGCTCACATTGCTGGAAGTGTACACTGTAGGTAAGCCTGCAACATTGAACTAATCCTTAGAAGTATGTCGCAGCTGGCGGGGTTACATTGCTGATGCTGTGACAACTCTGTTGGTAAATCGCTCCTGTCTATATTAATCTACTCAGGTTACTATTCAGACAACAAACAGGTGTTAGTGCCCGGAGATAGTCTAGTGGTTTAGTCCCACGCTTCTGAAATAATTTTAATCCCTACACAGCTTTGCATCGCCTGTAGTCTGTCTCTCTCTTACTTTCAGTTTTTCCCAAAAGAAAGCAGTGAGTGAAACAACAGAAGTGAGAAACCCATCTGCTTTTAGCGGATATTAATTTCTTAAGAGAGAAAGAAGCATTGTTAGACCAGCATTGACTTAGTTGAGGCAAGATTTCATGTAATGTGTGGAATGTTTTAATTTATAAATAACAGGATGGGTTGTGGTGTTCTGTAGGGATTTCCTTGGAAACAGATTCTTCCAAATGTTAAATAAAGCATTTTCATGTTCTGGTCCACAACATCCACCATGCACCTTCCCAGATAAGTCATGCTTAGTCACATGGCGAGCTGTGCTGGGAAGGCGAAGTTTCAGTGATTCACTTGCTTCTTAGAGAGACAGAGAGAAAGAAGGAGAGACAAAGCATGGTGGGTAACCATTGCCCTTCTTCTTAATTTAGGCTTTCACAGATTTTTTGCCTTTACTGCAGTGCAGTAACCTAGATTTGAAAGATCAGTGTTGAACCCACATATCAGATGTGCTCAGCTGGGCTTTGCTCTGAGCTCCAGGGGCTTGTCCTATGTGTGTGCGTGTGCTGCTGTTATTAAGTTTTTGCCAATTTTTGGCAGGCTTATATGCATTTATTTGATGGAACGTGTCATGCAGAATGAGTGTGTGCTCCTGATAACCTTCACTCAGCATTTAGGCAAAACCACCATGGTGCCTTATGCTTATCTTCTCGTTCTACTCTGCATAATCTTGGTGTGATTTTGGACCTATCCATGAGTTTCGATTCTCACATTAGGACGCTGAATCCATCGTGTTTCTGTCTAAAATGCTGCTGTCAGGCTTCACAGTATATCATGGACCTTCTGCTCCCCTACACCACGAGCTGAGCTCTTAGGTCCTGTGCAAAGGGTTTTCTAAATGTAGCTCAGACTCGTTCAAGGTGATCATGCTTTCCATTTGGCAACCCCTAAGCTTTGGAATAGCCTCCCAATAAGCCTGAGGTCTTTGGATGCTGGATGCAGCTAAAAACCCATCTGTTCAGAAAGACATTTAGGTAGAATGTGGTATTTAATGTGTCTTGGGTTCTTGTATTTTTTATCTGGTGTTTTATCTCTGTTTTATTTATTTGGATCAATTTAATTGAATTTGATTATGTTTATTTATATTATTATTATATATGTTATATATAATATTATATTACGTTTTACTTTGACTGTAAAGCACTTTGTGACTGGTGTCTGTGAAAGGTGCTGTGTAAATATACGTTGCTGGCTTGCTTACTGCTTTAAAAGAAGCAGGAGATCACAGCCTTCCAGGACTAAAAGGAGTGGCGCTGCAGGGTTTCCCCTCAGGTCACCCATAGACCATGATTAGGTTAGGCTTTACTCCCAGCCACGGGCTAGAACTCCCTTCCAATGACAGCAACAGAGAGAAATGAAACAGGAAATTATTTGGCCCAGATCCATGTCCTGAATTTAAATCTGGAAATGAGACAAAGTTCCCTTGCTGTGGAATATGAACTGCACTCTGTGCCTAAGATATGATATGACCAGGGAGATGCCGTGTAAAACATTTCATTAATTTAATTATGTTGCTGACTTTCAAAAACTGGCTATGAAAAACTGCAGACAGTGAGAGAATTTACAGTGTTCCAGTAGTGTAGCAAACAGCTGGCAGATTTAACCCAGAGAAGTACATGTTCCCTGTGGCTCACCTCTGGGTCACCTCTATGTCTCCTATCCTTTACTGAATATAAACCATTTGTGCTACTGGAGTACACTGTCCCCTACTGGTTGAATTATATTCTGACACTCTGACTGAGATGAAAGCAGAGTGAGGTTTAAAAAACAGTTACAAAGCCTCTAGGCAATACATCCACTAAGTGCAGAACAAGGTGCAGAATATGTCTGCATAAAAAGTGGGAGAGGATGTACTGTGAAGCTCTACCATTGAAGGCCAACAGGTCAGTGGAGCGAAGAAATCAAACAAAGTACAACTCTGTCAGCACTTAAGCCATGTGTTTAAATAGATGTTTGCTGCTGTAGTCATAACAAATTGAATGTAGAATTTAATATCTTCTATTTCTCTGCTTACAGGTCAGACATCTCCTGTGAAATCACTAAAACCAGTAAGTTGAAGCAAGTCTTTGTAATGTTTCTTCCAATGTATACTGGTAATAAAACTGCTGCTGATCCATTAAACAGAAAAGGTTTTTACTTTGTTTTGGTTACCCGCAAGCACCACTCTGTGTGTGTGCTGTGGAAGCTGTTGTTAGCTACATAATTCAGTGAGCCCACATTAGCCAGGCTGTTATTTCTGGAACTGCATGTGGGTAAATATGCCAGCTCCTGGCAAACAGCAACTTAACATCCCTCTGTGTATGGGTGTTTAAGATGATATACCGTATTCAACAGGTTTTTCCTGTGCGGCTCCTCCATGCTCCACTCTTAAAATAGACAGGAGCTGAGGCAGCATCAGGCTTACTCATACTGTTTTATTGGTTCAACACATTTACAATGTGTGGTTTAGTTTGGGATGTCATTCAGGAGGATTTCACCTAAGAAATAAATTACTGGCATAAGATCATAGAATGTATACTACTTTATATTGTTAAATAATAATAATAAAGGCATAGGAAAACGTTTACAGTGTTCTTAAATGTAGCTAGTGGTGTGAATCTTTCTGATGAAGATTTAATTTGATTCCCGATTATTGGGGTCACATTTCAATCTTGATTCTGGATTCAAATCGATTTCGATTGTGTACACAGGGGTGCAAATTTCTGGATCAACTCCAGCCCGCTGTGTGCTAAAGAGAGGCAGTGTGGCAAATCATGCATGAAAGCAGCTCTGGGTGATGGCGTGTGATGTGAGCCTTGGCATTTGTAGTGATCCCGAAGTACCTGATTTTTATTTTGCTTGCCGGGGGCAGTATTACTGAGGATATCAACTATTTTGATAAAAAATATTTTTTCATGTAAAAATGTATGTATTTTTCACATTGAGTGCTTTTTTTTTTTTAATACTTTGAAGTACATTTTCCTGATTATACTTACTCAACTTAAGTAACATGTCCAGTGTAGGACCGAGGATCAGAGTATTTTGGCACACCTGAGCCTCCCCTTTAAGGAAGGTGGCCTTCTGGGTAACCTGTGTGACGCAAATTAGCAGGTTTGTTGTGGGAAGCGAGTCTCCAAGTGACTTTAGGCTATCAGCTTGCTTCCGCAGTCACAGGAAATTATAACTTTGCTATTTAAGCATAATAACTAACTCGAAGTATCGTGTTTGCTGTCACAAAAGACAAGTAAAAACCACTTTTTTTTGTTAATATAGCGTCCTCCTGTCCGGTTTAATTACCTGCGGAAACACTGAGCTAGCTTGATGATCGTAGCGACAGTGAGCGTGAGGTACTGACGGGCACACGTTATGTCAAGTACAGTGTGCAGAATCGATGTAAGTTAGAGCAAATCGTGGTCAGTCAATTTCTGTGGTGTTAATGAGTGTTTGAAGTGAAGTAGGTGGCCAATGGCTTCTGAACTTATTTGTTTTATTGTCAATATAGTTTTTTTTACTCAGGAGTGCTCATATTTTTGCATTTAGCCAGCCACAGTCAGTGCTGCTGGATACAACTGAGTTTTACAAAGCCTGAAAGGACGCACGGGAAGTCAACATTGCCAGCAGCAAGGAGAAAATTGAAACTATAGTCCTACTTAAACGTAAAAAACGACGTTTTGAAGTTGTGAATTCATTCAGAATCTTAGAAGATAAGAATCGCGATTATTTACGTGAATCGCTTTTTCTCCCACCCCTACTTAAAAGTGATTATGTTGGTTGATTTTCTGCCTTAAAGTATGATCATCATCAACTTGAAGTAATGGGTAATAGTTGATCTTTCTGTTTATCACTACATCACAGTTCTTGTTTCTGTGTTTCAGTGCACAGCTCCCATGTCCCAAGCCATATCCCAGTCTACTGCTCAACAGACGCCCCATCCATGCTCCCAGCCCATCACACAGTCGCAGCGACAGGAGATGATTAACAGCACAGAGACCCTCGGTCAGACAGAAGGGCCCCCCAATCCGCTCCCTTTCCCTGCCAACGCTCTGCGCTCGTCTTCACCCAAACCGGATGCCTCTGAGCTCTACCTCAAGTCCAAGGCCTTGTTGGACAGCAGGCGTAAGTGTACAAGATGTAATGCACAAAGCCCCCATGGCAAAGGCAAAGGGCCACCTATATCCCACCATTCAACATGATCGTGGATGCGCAGTCCTGTGTGTGATGAGCAACAATTTTTTATGTTATTAAACTAGCAGTTTATGTTCTCAGGTAGATAATAAAAATCACAGTTACCAGATTCATGTGGTATTAAATATGAAACAGAACAAAGTTTTCTGTTGATAAATTGATCAATTTCAGTAATTTAATAGCTCTACTTGTGAATTTGAATTTTTCATTTTATTTTAGGGCATTTTATCCGACAAAGGAAAACTAAAGCACTATGAAATAATTTAATCATTTAACATTTATTTAACCGATGAAATTATTTCAGATATCCCCTGCCTTGACTGCAGGCTTAGAACCACTGCACAATACATTGCCCACATGCAACAACACACACAAACGGCATAATTAATGTGTTTTGTCTTTCATGGTCTCCATTCTTCTGTGCAGCTCCTAATACCAAGGATCTGGATGTGTTCATCAAAAGGAACCAGGAGTCAGGCTTTGGCTTCAGGGTCCTCGGAGGCGAGGGGCCGGATCAGCCGGTAGGTAGCAGCCCAGCACGGTCCAGCTGTTTACAAGCAGGCATGACACGTTGCTAGAATCCCAAACCCTCAGATACTAGAGAATCAATATTTGAGCTGAATTCAGTTACTTAAATAGCCTGAATTTCTGTTATTACTGTAGGACAATGAAGAAATACATGGTCAAAAAAGAGCAAGCCTTCATTATTCCAAAAGGAAACAAGGCATCTAACACTCAAACTGAGAGGATCTATCTATATATATACTATTTATCTTAATGACAGTAAATCCTCATGCTCACTCAGGCTCAGATCAATGTGTCAAGCTGTTTCTCTCATATCCTCTTGCTTCCACAGGTGTACATTGGTGCCATCGTGCCACTCGGTGCAGCTGAGAAAGACGGGCGCCTGCGTGCAGGGGATGAGCTGCTTTGTATAGATGGTGTGCCAGTCAAGGGCAAAACCCACAAACAAGTGCTGGAGCTGATGACCAATGCTGCCCGTAACGGCCAAGTCATGCTCACAGTGCGCAGGAAACTGATACACTCAGGTGGGGCTGCTTTTGAATAATCAGCTTTACATTTCTCTGAGAGCACAGTTTTCTTGTTTTTACTCCTTTTGTTTAGCTCAAGATGCTGGAGGAGGACCTCTAAGCAAAAGCTTTGATCTTGGATTTTTCTCACTAATCCTTTAAATTTGTTCCGGATGACTTGCTTGCGGATAAATCAGAATAAATGAAGTTGGGCCAAAATTTTCTTTTAGGATGTTATTCCATGCAGACATTTTCCTGAAAAGAAAACTGAAGTTGTTTTGAAAGAGGGTTCTGCATTTGCTTTAATCACAGGAAAGTACACCGGGGAAAAAAACGGAAACACCGAAAGTGGCTCACAATTAACAGTTGGATATTGTTTGCTTTGTGTTTAGTGTCAAAGCTGATTGGACTTGTGTGAAGGGCAGTGAAGATAAGATCAGCTGGTAGTTGATTTACATCTCAAAGGATAAAAAAAAGAGAACATGCTGAGACTTCTTTTTCAACAGCACAACCCCCTGCTGTATTCAGGCTTGTTTACCCCCACAAATAACCACTCCATGAATAGTACAAGCACTTTTTGAAATTACTTTGGGTTTGATGTATTGCAACAACAGCTGTGATCACGTTGCAGAAATTAAGCATCAATCATGTAAGGGTTTATGCTTTCAAAGCAGGGGTTTAGAAAGAGATTCCCTGATGCCAGCTGACAAAACAGGCACTCAGCAAAACAAACATACAATGAAGAGAGATTGAGGTAGATCAGCCTGTCTTATGAATAACAAATTGTAAAGCGCTTTCTTGTGTTTCACGTGAACACAGCAAAAAGACTGTCTTCCATAAAGCCACTGTGATTTTGGATTATTCATGAGTCACAAGAATGACAAATTGGGAACACTTTGACCAATAGTTGTTCATGGATTGAAATTCATGTCAGGTGAATCTGATTGAACCCTTCTCAAAATAAACGTTTGTGTTGTCCTCTTGGTGAAAGTGACGAATTGTAATGTCATTTTCCATCTGAGCTGACCCTGTCCTTTCGATGAATAGTCATACAGTGTTATTACCAGATTGATGTCATTTTGTAAACAATTGAGAGGAGCTGCCCCAAATGCGTTGCTGTAAGCATGCCCTCATGTTTCTGTGCACTGTCATTTGTCAGATGTTGATGGAGAGGAGGAGAGCAGTCAGCAGCCCCAGCAGGTAGCGTCCGCCCTGGTCAACAGCTCTCCTAAGATGCCTTGTGCCGAGTTTCCGAACACCGTCCAGCCTGTTCAGTCCTCTCGGCCAGAGTGCTTTGACGTTACTCTGCAGCGCAGAGACAACGAGGGCTTTGGCTTTGTTATCCTCACATCAAAGAACAAGCCCCCACCTGGAGGTCAGAAATAAATTAAAACACACCACCATCATTTCATGTTTTTACATTAAGTTCCAGTAGCTCTGCTTACAGAGCCATAAAGGTTAGGTCATTGTGGTCAGGTCAGGTCATCTTTCTCCCTGACTAAGGGCCCAGTACACAGAAAGACTGTGTAATGCTTTGTTATTTGATAGCTTGATGTTTTTTTGTTTTTTTAAATCAATGCTGCTCAAAAATGCAAAAACAACAGGTTGTCTTTTTTGTGATGTTTCAGTTATACCTCACAAGATTGGCCGTATTATTGAGGGCAGCCCTACAGACCGTATAGGTCAGATGAAGGTGGGAGACCGTATCTCTGCTGTCAATGGCCTGTCCATTATGGAGCTGTCGCATAACGACATCGTCCAGCTCATCAAGGATGCTGGAAATTCTGTCACCCTCACTGTTGTGCCTGAAGATGGTAGGTTGGCACGGAGAAAGCCTTAGTTGTTTGAAGCTGAAGATTATGGGAATGTTGATCCATGTTCAAAATTTACATGAAAGTCATCAAAAGAAAGGTTTTGAAGTTGCTTTGTGGCATTCAATTACAAGATTCCATCTAAATGGGTGTGTTGTATGAATTGGGATTTTACAGACAGCGCTCCTCCATCTGGAACAAATTCAGCCAAGCAGAGCCCTTCGGCACAACACAGAGCTGTGGGCCAACAGCCTCCCAGCAATCCAGACAGGTACACAAATATACACACACCCTCCAAGGCAAGCACACACATTCACACAAGCTTGCCAGGTTCCCTCTCTAATACAGGTTCTGCCACTTGAACCATAAATTAGCCCCAATTCTTTCAAGGCAGGCTCTGGTTTGTGCTACTATGTGGCCCATTACCATCTCTTGTGGCTTGCACTCTCCTTGTTATCCAGAAAGACAGAAAATCCCCCTATGGTCACTATTGGGATGGCAAAGCAAAGAAAAAGAGACAGATTAATAGGGACTTGCGCTTCTTCTTTGATCTTTCATTTAAACAAGATTACCTGTGCCAGACTTTTTAATCCATTGCTTCAGCAGCAATTCTCTACCATTTCTCCCCCGCTCCATTTCGTTGCCTATCAGTTCCCCTTCTCCTCATTTAGCCCTCTGCCCATTCCTCAGTAGCAGCCTCCCAATTCTCTGTCTAATCTCAAACACATGCCTTGGGTCAGCCCAGGCTAGATATGAGCTGAGGCTGTCAGCTTGGCTGCATGAAGTGTGTAAACTCTTCTCCATGCCAGAACTGCTAAGAAGGCCTAGACACTTTAGATAGTGTGTCAGCACAGCTAAGTTTCCCACAAAGGCATTATAATGAGCTCTGCGAAGCATTAAAGTATGCCCCTGTTATTCGCCACTGAACTGTAAAAGCAACATGGCTCTTTGCCGCCGCCACACTAAATAAATGTGCATTTTCAGTCGTTTTAATGTAGACGGAGATCAACTCCCAATATTCAGCTAAAACACTGGTGTTTGGAGATCATATTGGTTTTAATTCTCCGTTTGTAAACTAAAACGGAGTAGTGTGGATGGGGCCTTATTCTCTACTGTCTTTTCAATATATAGCATCTATACTTTTCATGTGCTATAGCACACATACACGCATTATTGCTTTAGATAGATGTGTGTGTTTGTGTATACACATGTAATTGCTGTATGTAACTGTATGCTAAGTTATATTGAAACACATGTTGAAATCGTCAGCATACATAACCTGTAATAGTCTATTTTCTTTATTTTATTGTTTGCCCACACTTTATGTCTATTTGTAATCAAACAAATAGATAGTGTAATAAAACACGGATAAATATATATAATAATATATATATTTAAAATATGTCTGTCACATTATAATGTATTTGTGGTCTTTTCTGGGGTAGGAATGGTGACACTGATCTAAAAAACTCTCTCCTACCAAAAGAGATGAGAACACTCATCATGTCAGGCTCTAAGCAGGTAAGACCATAGCCAAAAGTGTTTCTCAATTTACATTATGTTTGTAATTTACTCACTGTCCTTATACATACAACATATATATCAATACATATCAACCATGCAACAGTGACTTTCCAGGTTTGACTACAGCCTGGAAGTTATTGCATGCCTGTCAAGATGTGCTCCAATCTTGAAAGCTCATATTCTTGTCTGTGAACTACAGGACTGTTTTGTGGTGGAGCTGGAGCGCAGCCAGCGGGGCTTCGGCTTCAGTCTGAGAGGAGGGAAAGAGTATAATATGGGCCTTTTTATCCTGCGACTGGCTGAGGATGGACCTGCTCTTAAAGACGGCAGGATACATGTGAGTTTTTTATTTAATTTATTTTTTTGCATGCAGGTATGTCCCTGTCCTCTAAATAAACTGGGTAATACTACTTTGCACTTCAAATAAAATTTATAGGTCTTACTCAGGAGCTTTCAAGTCATAACCACTCAGACAAAATCAAGACAACTGTGCAACCACAAAACCCTCCATCAAAAAGTAAATATTACTGGAAATGTTTGTCATTCCTGTAATTATTCTTTGTCTTATTTCTATTCGGGAGCTACAGTTCCCATACTTTAGTGGCTTTGAGCGATGTAGACAATATAATGTTGCTATGAAGACAATTAGTTAGCTGTCAGCTACAACATGAGCTCCGTTTTTAAACATATATACATTTGTTTACATTTTTGCAAAAAGGCACCATTAACAGTATGCCAAATTAGCGTTATAAATGTGATTATTCTCAGGTGAGTTCTGGACTCTGCTTGTGACATGCAAGAATAGACTATATCTGTATTTACAGGTTGGAGATCAGATAGTGGAGATCAACGGCGAGGCCACCCAGGGCATCACACACACTCGAGCAATTGAGCTGATCCAAGCAGGAGGCAATAAAGTTCATCTGCTGCTTCGACCTGGCCAGGGCTTGGTCCCGGATCACAGTGCGTGACTGCTGAGAGCTGCATGCATGTACACACATTGTTGCCACTGCACATAGATCTATGCAATAGCATATTAACCATACATATATAGAATCTTTTGTATGGATATGCTTGAGAGGAGGGTGTTGAGGTTCTTTATTCTCATGCATGTGTTGCGAGCTTCTCTCTTGACCTTTCTCTACTCTCATTCTATCTCACTACTTCTATCTACCTCTTGTGCTTTTTATCTGCTCCTGTTTTCTGCACCGGCACGGCTGTCTATTTCTACCTATTTATCTTTTCCTCCTATAGGTCTGAACTCTTCTTCCACCCTGTGCTTCTACATGAAACCAGAGCATCACTAAAGGCCTCACTGCTTTTCTTGGTCTGTCCGTAATAATCTTGGTAAACTTTGAACTCCTACTTTTGCCTTTGACCTCTCTTTTCAAAGTTACTCATCTCCCAGATTTAAGTGTCGTCCTCTGTTCCTTCCTTCACTCCCATGATCAGTCTGAAATAGATCAGTTATCTGTAACTCTGTAAACACCCATGTATCGTAAGCAGAGATACTCTTCCCCTGGAGGGCTGAACCAAAGCAGTGAGTCCTAGAAGAACAAACAGACCTGCAGGAGTGCTGAGAGGCTTCAGAGCCCCGATAGTTAGTTTTTAAGGGTATTACAAAACCTGGTATGCCACTGAACACACACACCTCATCCTTAGTGTGAATGAAGATGGAGACCTGGAGTACTTAACTAGATATTGATCAGTGAGTGACAAGTGGTAAAAGGATCTGTGTGCATTCACTGGCATCAACCTTTCAATCCAGAGACCACATTAGAATGAATTTCTATGAGTTGTTGCTCCTAGAAATCCAAAAGCTCATTTCAGCACCACTAAGTCCATCACTTTGCTTTTTCTCTCTCTGGTTTTGTGCTGCATATATTTGCTCTCAAGCTAAGCTGTGCAATTCTTATCAGCTTGGGGGGAAATTGAAACAGTGCTGGGTGAACGCTAGCACCTTTTCCATTGATGGCTCTGTCGTCAGCTGATAGAGGGATATTACTGTAACGTAAGGGACACAATATGAGGATATTCTGCTTCTGTTGCATGACATGTTTAATTATCTTCAGTTGAATGTTTGAAATGTCTCATGTAAGGGATATTTAGCTTATGTACCAATACTTTGCTCAGCTAGAAAATTTTCTTACTCTCCACTCCTTGTTTCTCAGGTTCAAAGGACAAAGTAACCATTCCAACCTCAAGCTTTCCCAGACTTTATGTATCTGATGGGCAGTCATCTCCAGCTTCTCCATCCTCTGTCTCCCTGTCTACCTCGGAACTGTCCCCATCTTCACCCAAAACAACCGCCACTGATGAGTTCTCCTGTGGGGATCACACTGCATCTGGGTCCCCTGGCACTGGGCAGGAGCATGGTAGGCAGGCTAACAGACCCAGAGGAGAGCAGTACAAGCGTACCACCAGCCCCAGCACCCAGACCAGAAAACCAGGCAGGAGTGACTCCAAGCCAGCTAGTCCCAAGAGAGCCACTGAAAGCTGGGAAGATGATGTTGAGCGCTCTCCGAGCCCCAGAAAAACAGAGCGAGGCCACAGCGGATCCCTGGAAGATATGAGCAAAGAGAGGAGAGCCCAAGGGCAAAGAGACCACCGCTCATCTAGCCCCAGGAAGACCACCAAGTGGGAACATGATCCTGCTGTGCCTTTGATGAACCTTGTGGAGCCCCAGAGCCCCAGGCGTCCAGCTGGCCAACAGCCCAGCATTGCCTATGGAGAAGGGAAGGACAGAAGGTACAAGGAAGAGGATGCAGCCTACTGGCAGGAGAGGGGGGCTACAGAGAGTGGAGACAAAAGCTTGGGTACCAGTGAACGCCACAAGAAAAACAAAAGGGCGGAGCAAGAGGCAGCGGCACAAAAATCCCATTCCCAAATGCACAGGGACAGGGCAGGGTCGGATGGTGATAGTGGCACCCTGAGCCGGAGGAGTGGAAGAGAGAAGGGGAATAAGGAATATCGGGAAAGCAAGTACCATGGGCTAGCCGAAGAAGTGAATAGAAAGGACCCCAGAGGTTCGAGCAGTAGCATCCAGGACCCCAGCTGCAATGGGACCTCTACCAGCAAGAAGGCTCCCATCACCCCTGGTCCATGGAAAGTTCCCAGTTCTGCCAAGATCCAGTCCCAGGTGGACACAACTTACGCGGATAACTAATATCCTCATTGGATTCTCTGCGTACATTAAGAGAAAGCTGAGCCTCTGAAAGATGGATATTCAGAATGGGATTTTGTTTTTAGCAATCTTGGACAAAGCAGATCACTGTGCAACCAGCAACATAGCTTCTCATTGCTTATGATTTTGTTTTTCACCCAGTTTGCCTCGGTCAGTTTGCATCAAGCTGCTGATATATAATCTGACATGCGTGCTTGTACCTACACGAGTATTTGTACTGTACGGTAATGTGTGGATGTGTGTGACAGGTCGGGTCTGAGTGTGATTTTTGGATGTGACACTTAAGTCTATTTGGTGCCAATCAGGGACTCCGGTTATAAAGAAGCTGCTCCGTATTGCACTCACTGTGAGACTGTTTTTGAGTAATGAGATGAACTGCTCTTCCTGTCTTGCCACCTCGATGAAGGATCCTTATTTTTCCACTTTGAAGGTTTAAGACATTTTCATGCAATCACTCTGCTTTTTCTGCTTCCTGGCAAGATTGATTCACTGTTGTTGTCACTGATGGATGTACTAAAAAGTGAGGCTGGTGAGTTTCTCCTTAAATCGGCTGCAAAAAGGTCTTCTTCTTAGTCATTTACTGTTTGTTTTTTGTTTTTTTGCAAGCCCAACTTAGGGTTGTGAACTCTATGCGTGACTGTATTGTACACATGAGAAGATGAGAGCTTTATATACATCAATGAGCAGACCAGATACTTGTGGTTATAGTTCTAATGTTTGTTACATGTGTGTTAATAATAAAGCATAATGTAATTTATTGAAATTATATGTAAACAAACCTGTTAGCATACATATCCATTCTGAGTCATTTCACTTTTGATGTGGACTTCATGACAGAAATAGAATGTGTAGAAAAACATCACCATTAAAATACTAACACTATAAAAACGTCAATCTATACATTCTATTTCTAATATTTCATGGTCTGTAAACAGTGACACGAGCCTGATTCATAATGTTGTCTACTGTTAGCAGCTCTGTATTTTAGATTCTCTGGCTATGTGTGTATGTATACAAGCTGACTAGTAGGCCTATGTATTTTAGATATTGCTGTAGCATCGACTATACTTAATCCAAAACATATATTATTTAACAAAGTGATTACATATATACTGAGACATAATTTAGATGAGTTGAATTAACAGAGCTTGATTGTAAGAAGTGAGACCTCTGCCTTCACCTTAATAAAACTTTAAAAGATAATTGAATTTTTACCATCACAAATGTAGGCACAAGTTTTTTTTCCTGCTCATTTTACCCTCAAAATCTATTTTATGATCAAATTTTCAATTTAGTACATACCCATTAATGTGAGAAAGATGTACATTTTTACTTAGTTGTTAATCCTTACCAATCATGGCAAGTTAGTGTTATAAATAAAGCCAGATTCCCTAAGAATGCAGTTTATTTTGGTGCGTAATGCATAATGTGAAAATGGCTTGACTGCTTCTTTGGGAGTCCTATTTGAAATGACTCTGTAAAGTTTAACAAATTTAATGAGACAGGGATTTAAGTCCCAGATGAAAATGTGGGATTAGTGGTGCACTGCTCTGAAGACATTTTTGTGTTGTTTCAGTGTTTCTACTGTGGAGTACAGAGACATCTAGTGGTTCATAAATTGCTATTAAGAAACTAGTCAACTAGTGAACTGTCCCCTCATCAGCTCCTTTAAGGATGTACAGAAGTAACAGGTGCATCTATTGGTCCGGAAGATTTACTAATTTATTGTCCACTTTATTGTCGATACATGGGCTACTGTATTATTTACTGTTCATGCCATTACCATGTATGATACTGTGGGCCTTGCATTGCTCCAACACATATATAAAAAGGATTTTAGTTTGGACATCATGGTAGTTGTAAATGTTTATAAATTGTACAGCACCTGTATAAATATTTGCCTTCATGCAGAAAAGAATCCTCTGTAAATCGTTTCATTATTTTTTTAATGGAAGTGAGAGGAAATGAGATAAAATGAGTGAAAGGAAATAATCTGGTCATGGCATTCTGTTCATGCACTGATAAATAAAGGTTTACTGAATCAACGTGCATTTTTCATTTTTGTTGTTTTGATTTAGGAAAGCAAGTGATAATACATCATAAATCCTAAAGTACATCCTACTGACCCAGTACAATATCTCTGGCACACCCTTTGGTGGGTATGCCATGGTAATACGCAGGTTCTCTTAAAGGGAAGTTTCACAATTTAAAATTGTCTTAAAACAATAATCAGGTGCCCATACATTGAAACAGGTTTTGCTTGCTGGAATCATTCATCCTGTTCATACTGACCATTAAAAGATCCCTTCCTAATGCACTTCACTTTAGTTGATGGGTGTCAAAGTCCACATCCTTCTGTGCAGAAATGCATTCCAAAGGTTAAGCAAATATGAGGCTTTGGTGGTCTGCCTTATCCTAACAAGTCAGTGTGTTTAATACGGAATTTCTTCATTGCGTCTCCCCAGACAGTGTTTCTGCTTTCAGCTGTGGTGGAGGGATAGTAGCCTAATATAAGGTATTCATTTTGTACTAAAAAGACAGTCTCGAAGATGCTCGCTTGATTTGTCCAACTCGAAGCCTCGTTATTAACGTTACAATATATTTTTAGCACAGAGGACTTTGATTTTGTCCCATATCACTTAACATTGAATGCGGAAGCGATCTCTTAATCATTATGAACAGGTAGAACGATAACAAAACGGTTTGTGTCAATGTAACAAACGGAGACCTGACTTGTTTTAAGACAGCCTTAAAATGATGAACCTTTTCTTTAACCCAAGTCAGCCTTGTCTCTTCATTATATCAGTATGCTATTGTGCAGAGGGACTTTAGTAGTACGTTCAGCTCTACGTTCATAACATGTCGTCCTGCTCTAAACGATGAAGCACCGCCTCGTGTGGCTGTGATTAAATAAACCATGACGTCAGCTGAGCAGAAGTGTGTGCGTGCGAAGCCGCACGCATTCAGTATAGTATAAACCCCAACTCCCGTGTAGCTTTGCAATGTCAACAGACTACACAACCCACAGTTCCACGTTGTGCGCGTGCGCAACAGACTCTAAATATTGAAATGAACTACAAATTAACATCAGAAGGACTACATTTTTTCTTGAACATGCGCAGTAGGAATCCCGAGACCTTTAAATGTACTGTACGTGCAAAGATGGCAGCGCAACTGGACTTGCTTCGTGCGAAAGTAGAAGGAGAAAAGCTAAGGGATAGTCTCGATAGATTCATTAAAGAGAAGAAAAAGAAGAAACGGGATCTTTCGCTGTCAGTGACAAACGGCAGAGATGTGAAAAGGAAGCGAAGAAAGTGAAGCTCCATCACCACCAACACGCTGAGCACCGGACCCACCAGCCGCATCAGCTGCAGCAAAATCCTAAACCCCACAACTTCAGCGCAGATAAACATGTCATACACAGCAACCACCACCACCATCACCACAATCACAGCCTCACCAACGGCACAAAGAGGAACCTGCAGCCGACTTTACCGCCTCCTCCTCCGGGGAAGGTACCAGAGCAGCTGCAGAAGAAGCGAGCGGTGCCCCCCGAGCCACCTGCGCTCTTCACTTTCACGCCTCTCAAAATGGTCAAGGCCAAGCCCAAGGATCTCAAAGAGAAGCATAGGGAGAAAGACCTGAAACTGAAGCTCAAGAAGGAAAATACCGAGGCAAATGTGAAACACGCTGAACTGAAGAAAAAGAAGGGTGAGTTTTATTATTTTGTGCATATATACAAAAAGGGGGTTCCCTATTTAAAATGTGATGGAATACATTTATTCCCCAAAGTGGTGTCCATGGACCAGCACAAGTCTTTGACAAGTTGTAAGAGGTTTACAATTTTCACTCACTAGGTTTTAGTACTGTAACAGTCTGCAAATTAGTATATTGTTTATTACAGATTTCAGTCTCCTCTGTAACTTCTACCTGACCTCTTACAGAAGAGGCACACTGTACTAAGTACCATAATAAAGAACTAAATAGATATACTGTATATGCCCCCCAGAGTTGTATTAATTGGTGGTCTGCTGTCTAGTGTAAATAATTTTAGGCTCCATGACAATAGAGATGTGGGTAGCATGCCATTAAGAATCACCATTGCTTATTAATGAAGCTTCCCCTCCACTCTCTACATGTACCCTTTCCCTCTGACTTTTACTTACCTCTATACCTGTAGAGCCAAGGCCCCACAATGGAAATGTCAAGTCTTTAACACTGGAGGAATACCTCCTGAAGAAGAAAAGAAGAAGAAGAAGCACCGCGAGGAGGAACACAGTGCCAAGAAGGTCCGATACGTGCACAACAAAGCTGTTCAGACTGTATGTGCAGGGCTTGGAGCAGATCTTACTCTGCCCATACTCCCTGATCTGTCACTGTCCGCCACCATGAAGCATGAAAGCAGTTACCAGCCTGGCGGAGACGCTATCAACAACCACCAACCCTACCTCCATGCTCTCAAACTGGGACAGGTCCCCTTCCTCTCCCACCAAGACCACTACATCCGTAGCTCCTGCCTCCAAACAGGCACCTGGTGCGGACGCTTCATGCATGAGGAACAGCAAGCCAATGGTGGAGGATTAGTTCTGCATGCCTATGCTGATGAGTTAGCTTGTCTAAGCCCGGCTGAGATGGAGTGCTTTGCCCAGGAGTTTCTGGAGTTGGCCTTTGCTGAGAAGCCTAGAGGTGCAGCCTCCTATGCCTTGACAGTGGTGCACAGTGCAGCCGCCTACCTACCTGACTTCTTGGACTACTTTGCCTTCAACTTCCCCAGCACACCGGTCAAAATGGAGCTCCTGGGCAAGAAAGACATTGAGACCACTACTATTGCCAACTTTCACTCTCAGGTATGTCAAAAGGCAAGTGGTCCACCTAGTTTTAACAATGGTTTGGCATTGCATTTAACAAATTCCTGGACTTTTGTGAAAACAAAATATATAGATCATAGCCTCTGATGATTCCTTATCAATGGATCTGTCAATTCGATTGTTGATTATTTGGTCTATAAAATGTCAGAAAATAGTCAATAAATGCCCACGCTGACAAACTGACATATGCTTGTTTTCCCAGACAGAAGAACTTTGGTGTTTTACAAAAAAAACTCCAACAACTATTAATTAATTATCAGAATTTTTGCTGTTTCATTTTTTTTTTCAATCGTCGCATTGATTAAATAAAGCAGTCCACTAAATGTTAAATGAGTTTTCTAGATAGCTAGTAAAGTAGATACAAGAGCAGTAGCATAGAATAGCATGCCATCACAGATAAATTATATTATATTCAATTTTGTTGTGGCGTCACTGGGTTGTAACCTCATGTTGCACTGTGAGAGGCAAGGACTTCTTAGAAGGTGAAATCTAAACTTAAGGATGGGTTTTGGTTACCTTTTATATTACTGATACAAAATATAATTGATTTTAAATTAAGAAACAAAAAAATCTATTAAAATGAGCAGACTGCTGTGCATTTAGGACCGAAAAATAAGTGAATACCCTAAGTACACTGTTGTTCTGGTGCTAAGTTGTCCCTGTTCTTAAAGAGATCTCATGGAGCCGCTTGTGTTCCATGCTTTTATATACAGTCTTTGGTTCCATGCAGCTCAGCGGTTATCTGTTCATGTAGGGAAAGTAGACCTAGTTTGATAATTTCACCACTAGAGTCCAGAGAATAAAGTGATGCTTTGAGAACATAATGATTGCACTAAAATGCCTTGTTGTTTCTGCTGCACTTTACTGGGTCAGTGCTGTACATAAAACTACATACTGTAGTCCTTTGCATAGAAAACACATTATAATCACAGCATTGTTCACTGATCAGGTTAATAATGTTGTGCAGATTCATGTAGCCTTAGAACCTTTTGTTACAATGATTGCAGTACCTACTGTACCGTGGGAGCTGTGAGTTCTTTTGTGAAAAAGAAATCTACATATTATAGTATAAACCTCACAGGCGGTGGTCTGTAACTTCTCTGCTAGACACACTTATAGGCATGTAAGGAATCCATCAGTGTGACTGTATTTTTAGTGGTATAGCATTAACAATTATGTCTTGTAAATATATCTACAGAGGCTAATGCACGTAATGCACACATTACATAATAATAACTAAATCTATGCAGGTTTGGACTTTATAGTGTTTTCACACTGAAAAAGGGACAAATTAAGTACTCAAAACAGTCAGTATGCATACAAAAAAAACTTATACTTGGTTTTTGGTATACGAACTGGAAAAACCGTATACTAGGACAATTAGTATGTAGTGTATTATATACTGTATACAATTAGTGTGTTATATGGAATGGGACACACTGTATGACATAAGGTGTTCCTCCTGTCCTAGGTGAGCCGGACTTACTGTTCAGGAACGTACCGGTCTGGACCCATGAGGCAGATCAGCTTGGTGGGAGCGGTGGACGAGGAAGTTGGAGACTATTTCCCAGAGTTCCTTGACATGCTGGAGGAGTCACCCTTTCTCAAGGTCAGAGGAATATATATATATATATATATATATATATATATATATATATATATATATATATATATATATATATATATATATATATATATTTTTATCTTTTTTCTAAGGACCATATTAAGGAAAAATGTGCACTCTAGCTTACCTGCAAAAGCCTGGTACTGAACCACTTCATGGCAGTCACAGCAGGAACAATATGTTTTTTCTCTGACTGCCACCTGATTGGAGGACTTGAACTCATAGTGCATCCATATCCTGTACATCCTCCTCGAAACCTCACACTTAATGTGTTGAATACAGTATGTTTTTCTCAGGAAGCTCATTATGAATTACAAGTACCACACTCCATAAAATAACTCTCATGCACTTTTGTTGCTGTAACATCTGTTCAATCTGTTTTACTTTTCATAAGAATTCTGTAAACACAATCTAAATAACATACAGCATTTTGTCGTTATATGGTGGCTTGTAGTTAAGTTTTTCATCAGTTGCATCCCAAAAATACTGTCTTTGAGATTCTAGCATAAGCATATGCCCATATGTTTTAGCAACATGCAGTATGTTTAACAAAATGA